TTCACAGAAGCTTTACAGAAGCTTCACAGAAGCTTCACAGAAGCTTCACAGAATCTTCTGTGAAGCTTCTGTGAAGCTTCTGTAAAGCTTCTGTGAAGCTTCTGTAAAGCTTCTGTGAAGCTTCTGTGAAGCTTCTGTGAAGCTCCGAGCCTAAGGAGCTGGCTCCGAGCCTAGGGAGTATAAGATTGAATCATTGAATCCTAAGAGTGACTCATTGAATCCTAAGATTGGATCATTGAATCGTAAGATTGAATCATTGAATGCTAAGAGTGAATCATTGAATCGTAAGATTGAATCATTGAATCATATGAGTGAATCATTGAATCATATGAGTGAATCATTGAATCCTAAGATTGAATCATTGAATCGTAAGATTCAATCATTGAATCCTAAGATTGAATCATTGAATCGTAAGATTGAATCATTGAATCATAAGAGTGAATCATTGAATCATAAGATTCAATCATTGAATCATCAGATTGAATCATTGAATCATCAGGTTGAATCATTGAATCATAAGAGTGAATCATTGAATTCTAAAGCCATTCGAGCTCTGCTCCGAGCTATTCGACCTCGATTCTGAGCCTAACTTGTAAAGTTAAGGAAGATAAGAAGTTAAAGATAAATAAAGATAAGGATAAGGAAGATAAAGATAAGGATAAGGGAGATAAGGATAAGGAAGATAAAAAGATAAAGATAAGGATAAGGAAGATAAGGATAAGGAAGGTAAAGATAAGGATAAGGAAGATAAGAAGATGAAGATAAGGGTCGATGTAGGGTCGATGTAGGGTCGATGTGGGTCGATGTGAGGCCGATGTGAGGCCGATGTAGGGTCGATGTGGGGTCGATGTGGGGTCGATGTAGGGTCGATGTGAGGTCGATGTAGGGTCAATGTACGGTCGATGTAGGGTTGATGTAGGGCTGGGTGTATAGAAACCATGGCGAATGAAGAATTAAGCCAAACGAAAAAAAACACATTTAAATTGTAGACCACATTAACTTTGTAAACGTCTCGAAGAAATAAATGTATTTTAATATTGAATTCTTGTGTAAACTTTTGGCTGCAAAGCGCTCCTGCATTGTCTAAATTGCTTTCTCTCTTCCAATATAAACCTCGTTATGGTTGTGTTTCCAACCCGCACGGATAACCCGCGACGCCCGCGAAATGAATATCCTAATCTACCCGTATTTATCCACACAGTAGAAAATGCAAATCTCTGATAAAAGTTAATTCTTTAATTAGTTTCACCCTAACAACACATACCAACCGGTGTGCTTTTATAATATAGCTTAAATTTATTAACCTTATCCGAGTTTTAGTACTTTAAAAACCTAGCACTAAAATATAGAAATCGCTTGACAATTATATGTCATCTCTAACTTCCATGTGTTTATATAACTCTAGACAGCAACATATTCTCGTCTGTAATAACTCTCTGTTTGTTAGTATTTTTTTCCTGTCTCAAGCTTGCTGGGTGAAATAAAAATTGTATCCACATGGGGTGGGCGAGTTAATCACTTTTTAATGACTCTGTAATATGCAAATATCGACCATAACAACGGCGTTGACAACGATTTTTACTTGGGCTTAGCAACTGCTTAGTTCAGTTTAAAAATTTTAGCGAAGTAGACAGAAATATAAACTGTAGTCTGTAGAGCAGCCAAGTAAACAGAAATTATAAACTGTAGCCTGTAGTCGCGTAGAGCAACGAAGTAGCCAGAAATATAAACTGTAAATAAACAAACGGCATCGCAATAGCTGGAAATATAAACTGTAGATAAACAAACGGCAACGAAGTAGGTTAGATGGAAAACACGGAGTCGGAGTTCCGGAGCCGGAGTTCCGGAGTCGGACCCCCGGAGTCGGAGTCCCGGAGTCTGACGTCATAAAAATATGGAAAACACGCAGTCATATGGAAAACACGTAGTCTGACGTCAGAGAAAAATATGGAAAACACGGAGTCATATGGAAAACACGGAGTCTGACGTCATAAAAATATGGAAAACACGGAGTCATATGGAAAACACGGAGTCTGACGTCATCAAAATATGGAAAACACGGAGTCATATGGAAAACACGGAGTCATATGGAAAACACGGAGTCTGACGTATTGTCAGCGTGAAATATGGAAAATAGTAATTAAATAATATATAATTTATGCGAATATAAACAAACGGACGAATTTATAATATAACGAATTGGAAATTTTCTGCACTAATTCTGGTATTTGCCGTATTTCTCTAAAATGTCGTGAAAATATGGATTATTTATTTCTAAATACAATCAAGCAAATAATATTGTTTCTCTTGTCGTGTGACTTGTTCAGTTGTACAATATTTGAAGTGATTTTCGAGACTGGAAAGTTTGCAAATTGCGCAACCGAGATCAAAATTTTCCGGATTTTTGCGCGTCTAGTTTTCGAATCTGCGCGTCTGGTATCTGAATTAGCGCGTGCAGTTTAAAATATAATTCATAGTTTTTAGTTTTCACCAAACGTGACAAAGTAAAATTGTTTATTACAGCTGTTCATGTTCTATGATAGTTTATTTGCTTACGAAATTTAATTTTTTTAAGAATGATCACATTCACATGCACCACCATATACGGAACGCTCACCAACATTCGTTGCTCGCCAGTTGCCAGAACCTTTTTTAAGAATTTGTCCGTGGGGAGAGAGCAATCTACAAAGAGGGACGTTTAATAGTGGGGTCTGGTGGATTTTCCCCCAGAAAATTTTTGTATTTTTCCACCCCTAGGAATGCATTTCGTGCATTTTGTGAACAGATTTTTAGATGCACAGCGTTACATTATACTGTATATATATTCTTATAGAATCTTCAGTTAAGTACTTCCTTGGATGTTTATGTGAATACCACAACTCCGTCACTAACTTGTTTCGCTGATTAGTCTACCTTCCAGCAACTCAAATCTATAGGGTCTGGGATATGCTACCAATGAGGCGCGGGTTTAAAATCTAATGTATTCAGGACACAATGTTTAGCATTTTTAAATACATTGATCGGGCCATCTGACATTTGCCACTTACATTTGGCATAGCCTCGTGCCCAGGCTCTTTAGACTTTAGTTTGCAACCCTAGCGTTCAAATTACGTAATTTCACCATCGTTAAAATTTTTGTCCGACCGTAAACACGCTTGTTCGCGAAGGATCCGATCGATCGGACCATCTGACATTTGCCACTTCAATTGTGGCATAGCCTCCTGCCCAGGCTCTTTACTTTCGGCAACCTAGATTTGAAAATAACATCATTCCACCATCGGTAAAATCTTTGTCCGACCGTAACCAGCTTGTACGATGGATCCGATCGATCGTGATCAACGTGGCATAGCCTCCTGCTCAGGCTCTTTCCTTGCAACCCTGGCGTTCAAATGACATCATTTCACCATCGGTAGAATTTTTGTCCGTAAACGTGCTTGTCCCATGGATCCGATCGATCGATCGGACCATCTGACATTTGTCACTTACATTGTGGCATAGCCTCTTGCCCAGGCTCTTTACTTTGCAACCCTGGCATTCAAATGACGTCATTTCACCATCGGTAAAAGTTTTGTGCATGTCCTTCCAACATGCACACAAAAAAACATTTCGAAAATATAACGGTCCGACCTATATGTCATGTCAGACTGTTGTAATAGTCCTTATATTATAAATTAATATCACGTTATGCTATATGTTTGTCTACGTATATTTGTCCATCGGACAAACTATTCTCCGACGCGTCGGAGAATATCACATGTTTGTCCATCGGATCAATCGGACTCCGATCGCGGATATTGGACATCAATCTAAAGAAAAAGCAGTTCTTTGGAGAAGTAACTTATGTGGGGTCGCATACTTCAATTTATCCGAACTGATTGGCTGCGACTGTCCGATTGAATATTCGGGCTGTATGATATTTCTGCATCATGATATTTCTGCATCATGAAGTATCAAGTATGTTAGCAGATGGTATAGATAGTTAGGCTCTCTCAAATTCAGTTATATATTTACCGAAGTTGGCAATTTGGCACACTGAGACGCTGACTGTTGTCATGATTATATTTATAATTTATAAATGATTCCTTTATAAATGATTCCTTATTCTGTTATTCAGTTGTAGTGCATTTCAACATTTCGAAATTCGAATCATTCCATCCTGAACAACACGCGTCAGTGTATTATATATGTGTAATGTGTTATTGTATATTTGTAGACAATTCAGCTTCTGATAATACAGAATACAAATTTGACATTTTCATAAAGTGCGACACAAAAACATGAAACAATTTACAACACTACATTTACCTCGCAGAAATTATTCAATAGTCTCTTGATGAATGATCGCCGTGGAACAACAGCACAGGCCCTCAATGGTCGATGTTCGCCTTGAAAAGCCAAAACCAAAAGACCGCCGAAATACAATTAGATCAAATTTCGGAATGGCTGATGTTTATTGGTTATTATTGTGCCTCGTTGGAAATGAACTTTCACCATACTGCCACATTGATCACACATAACGGCTAAAATTTGCGGCCCCGCTGGCATGTGTAAATTTGAGACGCGCATAAAATTGTGGATTTCCTGTGTCTCGCGACATTTCTCGTGCGCGCTAATTTGTCTCATGCAGGGCGCGCTTGAAACATAGCACAATTTTAATTTCATGCGCGCACGCGCTTGAAAAATTACACATTTTCAATTTCACCTGCGCCTCATTTTGAAATTGCGCGTTTGACAACAGATTTTTGAAATTTGCGCGTCTGGACGCGCATTTTGCAAAAAAGTGCGCAACCGAGATCTCGGTTGCGCAGTACAAACTTTCCAGTCTGGGTCACTGTCACTGATTTTAATGCGGATTTTGTTCACCTCGCATGGTATGTTGATAAAAATATAGTTTATATACTTAATACTGCTAGAATATTTCATAGTCGATTTACATGTAATATTTATAACACAAAATCTTGACACTAAACAGATATGCTGCTTGGAAACAGCGTGCAATATTCTTATTTACTAATAAATAGATGCAGCCAGCCAACACACAAATCCGTGCAGTATATTAATGGCATTAAAAAAGTTTTCAGGTGTCCAAAAAAATACCTGCACTATAGTGGTAAGCCCATACCAAGTTAATATCTCTAACATATAAGTTTTAGGTTTTTATATATCAAGCCATTGATATTTGAGTGATCAAGATATAGGTATTTATAACTGACCATTTGTTCCAGGCTTAATTGCATGATACCATTGTAAAATCGTCTGGCGTTAGCGCTATAGGCAGAGTAAAATATAAAGTAGGGTACATCTGGGCACATATATTGCCACTTGTAATTGAAGGGTTAATATAGAAATTTTGTATTTCATAAAGTATTAAAATGCATTTGAAAGGGATAATTTTAAGTGAAACCCACCTGTTGTGGACTTAAAAGTAAAATTGTGAACTGATGATGCAGAACCACCGGTAGCTAGGGATTGTGGGGCACTAAATTTACTGTTTTCGTAGATTTTTGTCTAAGCAATTAAGTTATAAAGAACAGAATAATAGTGTTGCCACATTCATGTAGTTATAGGCAAATGGTTGATTTGTCAAATATCAATTATGGATTGTTTCATTATAAATACTGGAATGCTCATACTGGATGGTTGTACAATAAGCAAAATTTGCCTTAGGGCCTGTTTATATGGAAGCCGGGCTGGCCCACTTAGCAAGACAGCCCGGTAAGTGGGATGAATTTCTCTCGTGTTTATATGAGAAAATTTCATCCCACTTGCCGGGACAATTTTGTTACATTGTATTGTTTTGACAGTTGTTAAAAATAGCTTGCGGCGGTATCTTTGAACTTTCATCCCGGCAACCAACCTAGCCTGCTTGTGAGTGTTTATATGGAGAAATTTCCATCCCGGTAAGCGAGATCTCGCCTCTTTCAAGCGAGTCCATATAAACGCACAATAATTTTTACTATAAAAATAACTACACAGCGAGATATCGCTTACCGGGCTGTCTCGCTTAGCGGGCCGGTGTTAATTTAAACCATGAGATGCTCAATCGTATGAACTATGAATGAAGATTTGCAGTGGTGTAGTGGCATAGCAGGGCCGTAGGAAGCTCTTTTCGATTGGGGGGGGCTGAAAGCGAGGGCCGAAGGCCCGAGGAAATTTTTAAATTTAGAGTCTCTAAAATGCCATTTCCTGGACTTTGGGGGAAGATTTAACAGAATTCTGATAGTCAGAAAACAGCGTTTTAGTATGTCGAAATTTACAGGAAAGTATGGGCCAGACTGTAGTATTATAAATGCGCGGCGGGAATTTTCGTCGTAAATGGCAGTTGCGCGGAAATGAAGGCAGAACATTTGAGAAAATTTCGAAAATCTGGAGTCTCTAGATGGTCTGAAATGGCATTTTCAGAGTTTTCTTTCGCAAGACCCAACACGCAAAAGACAAAATAAATCATTAGTTCATCAAAAATGTGCAGATTTTGTGGGATTTTCTTGAAAATGCGCGACAGAAATTCAGCTAAAATTTCTACGCGAGGAACGATCTGGAGTATGAGTAATATCTTCATTCTTTGCAGTTTGTCACAGATTAAATGATAAAGTTTGCATGATTTTGAAAAAAGAATGATTATTAGCAAATTATTGGGGGGGGCTGCAGCCCCCCCGGTTGCTACGGCCCTGCATAGACTTGTCTATGTAAGATATATTGAGCATTAATTGCATGGTTTAAATTAACACCTATGGCTACAAAAACAGTTGGTAGAATATTTTCATGTCAACACAATGACATTTTATTGAATTTTAAACTATTTCAGCCATTTTTGTGCCTATATATACAACTATAACTACAAATTGCATATATTGAAGGGAAATTTACTTCTTAATTTTTTCCAGCTATAGTAGGATTATAGGGGATGTTTATACATGTATGTAATGCAAGCCAGCCGAGATACTGGCTTTAGTGGCTTACTTTACTAAGGCAAATTTTGCTTATTGTACAACCATCCATGCAGTATGAGCATTCCAGTGTTTATAATGAAGCAATCATAATAGCTAGATATTTGACAAATCAACCATTTGCCTATAGAACTACATGAATGTGGCAACACTATTATTCTGTTCTTTATAACTTAATTGCTTGGACAAAAATCTATGAAAACAGTAAATTTAGTGCGCCACAATCCCTAGCAGTATCCCTAGCAGTATTCCTAGCAATATCCCTATCCCAGTGGTTCTGCATCATCAGTTCACAATTTTATTTTAAGTCCACAACAGGTGGGTTTCACTTAAAGTGCTTATGAAACAAAATTTTCACCTCATTTTTTATTGTTTTGCTAAAAAGTACTGCTGAAGCGATGAATTAAGAATGGCGTTTACAGTTTCTTCATATCTCATCTTGTTCTCAAGTTATCGCACTTTCTAAATTTTGAGTTGTGACGTCACTAGTTTGACTTGTACGGTAGCCCACAAGTGCAAACACAACACAATATTCACCAAACACGACAATAAATTAATTGAAACACAATAACATGTTCGCTGAACAGAACAAACGATTTGCTAATCACAACAACAAATTTATCAAAACACAACACAATATTTGCATTGAAACACAACAACAAATTCGCCAAAACACAACAATAAATTCACCAAAACACAACAATAAATTCACTAAAACACAACAATAAATTCACCAAAACACAACAATAAATTCACCAAAACACAACAATAAATTCACCAAAACACTTTTATAATTATTTTATATTATATGTTTCTAACATGAAGTGGTGGCGGACTAGAAGGATCGCGGGCTCTTATACTGTCTAGCGCGGTTTCGTCCATTATTTTCACAGGATTTTCTCCGTAGTTTTTCGTTCGTTTTACATCAAATACTTAAACAATAAATGTTTAAATCATGTTTTGTTCTAAGTGTGGGAGTAGTTTAGAATCTTCCAATAAATTTTGTTCCTCTTGCGGGCACAAGTTGATTGAAACAACCGAAACAAGTGCTACTTCCAAAAGTTCGAAAGATACAACTACACGTGGGACGAAATGTCTTAGTTTCGAGGAGTATGCCGCAAAAAAAAAGAAGAAAGGGCGACACACTTTAGAAGCTCGTCAAAGAAAAAAGCAAAGCCGAACGATACGGAAACAGTGGCATTAATAAACATTGGTTTAATGAAATACGTCAGTTTTGACACGACAACTCCTGTTCGTGGAAAATCGTTGCCATTAAAGGTAAACAAAGACGCCAAATATGCGGAAGTTTTTTCTGTGGCGTTGACAAAAGGGAGGCCTATGACAAGTCATTTGACACTAAATTAAGTTGGAAACTAGTCTACCCTGATGGTCAGTATTGTTTAACACTTCCGGGTCAGGAAGATCAAGAGTTTACTTTAAGAAAATATAAAGAAGACCTGGGAAAACCATATAATCGAATCACCTTATACTTGTGCCCAGAAGAACCAGATTTCAATCCTGAAGCAAGTGACGAAGATCAGTTTGATGTTACTCAGGATGTCAGGTAAATTTTGGGAAACATGGAGCCAAATAATAAAAAGCTCAATAGTTTTAATACCCAAGCATTCTAAACTTTTCCAATAAAATAGCCAGCCACCGTCTTACTGCATTCAACATCTTTTGGTGGGAAATGATGTAATAAATTTGTGGGTATTAATTAATTAATACAGACATACTAATTGTGTGCAACAAAACTTTGTTTACAACAATTGTAGTCTGTTAGAAATTTCGGGAAATATGTCTGTATAGTTTTGATCTAGAGTTTTATAGTTATACTTGTGTAATCACACAATACAATCCCCTCCCCCTTCAGACGGCATAAATTTCATCTGTGGGGGAAGTGTATTTGGATAAAACTGTAGAATGAACAATGATACTATGCTACTATCAGGTTACTATACTGAGATAGTAAAAAGGGGCTATAATTGCTATAGCATGCATGATGTATACTATTTCCACAAACTGTACCAAGTTGTACAGTGATTGCAATTATGCCAGAAGTGAGTTGATATCAGCCAATACCAAAATTATTGATATTAACAGTAAACCAGGCTGACTAGCTTTAGTCATGCCGTGGAAGAACCATTGGAATCAGGGGCGGATTTAGACCGTTGCAACTGTAGCATATGCTACGGTCAGATTTTCCATAGGCCAGTTCTAACATGGATCATAAAATCAATCTAAAATACAATTTAGCAATATTTTGTTTACTTTCCTTGTTTATATTTCAAGGTTTTATTTTATTTAGTTTTATATGTTCTAAAACATTTTATTTTGACAAATTGATGACATTTATAATACGTAACGTTAATTGTTTTAAGAATTCCCGCCCGAAAATATGGTTGTAATTGCCTGTTTGCGGGTCATTACGCAATGGACTATAGCTTAGAAAATATCATCCTTCAGAAATACACCGTAGCGTGTTGCCCATATATGATCAATTTTCGCTACGGTCAGATTCATTAAGGTCGAATCTGACCGTAGCGAAAATTGGCATATACGGCATTCTGATTGGTTTGCTACGGTCAAACGTAGCAAACCAATCGGAATGGGGCAAATGCTATAGTTTGCTACGGTGGCATGAAATTGGCTACTGCTCCAGAACGATGGAATATCTGATATTTGTGTTTGGCTCATCAACAACATGCTATTGGGAACCCACAGTACGGTTGTGCGCATTTCGAAATGAAAGCCGTCGTAAAGCTAAAGGATTTATATGCGTCGAGGTAGAAATAAAATCAGATAGTAAAACGAATCATTTCCAGTGAGGTAAGCCTTATGAATGATAAGAGATGCACATTATATTTTAATTTGAGTTTTTACTGTATAGTGTTCGCTATTAACTTCGCTTTATTAAAGTGTTTGACAGTTTGTGCGCGTATGTACAGTATACCTGCATGTATTGGAATTAATACGCGAATTATGATACGCGCGTATATATATCGTGTTTTATAGCGCGCTAATATTTGTTTGTAATGCGTATATATTCGTAAGATACGCGTATTCATATCATACGCGCGTTCATATGATATGCGTATTCGTATGATACACGCGTTCGTAGATGATACGCGCATTTCGGTATTCAATTGATAATGATATGCGTATGATACGAGTATCATACCGATATCGTATGTTAAAATATACGCGAGCAATAGTTTACATTTTGAGATCATTTCGGCTTATTTTTGCTTGAGAAAAGAATACAATGAGGACAAATTTAATGGTCACATGCAGTGCTCAGAACGCAGGAAATGGCATTTCCGGGCTTCAAATTTCAAAAATTTTCCGGGGGGGCATGCCCCCGGACCCCCCAAGCTATGCGAGGTCTTGGAAAATGCTACGGTCAGATTTTTGGCTGGATCCGCCCCTGACAGCAGTGCAATTTTCTGCAATCACAGTGCAATTTTCTGTAATCACAGTGCAATTTTCTATAATCACAGTTAGGCCGTTGGATGAGGGTCGAAAATGTTCAATTCCGTAGCACCCCTCGTGTAACTACATAATTTTTACATGAATGGATCATAGATATCTTATATAAACTAGATAGCGCATCTCTTTTAGTAAAATTGAAGCCAAGAATATCCCAGCGGTTACCCCCATTTGAATAGATGGCGGCCATGTTGGATCTTCCCACTCGCTAATAAACGCTTAAAAAATAACAATAACTTTCATCATTTGAATAGTTTGAAAATGTATTTATAGTAGGATTAACTTAATGTTTAAGTTCCCTGTTTAAGAAATAGGATACATACGAATCTTCTCATTTCATGGGAAGATCCTGAGCCTGCAATCACGGCTTCAATTTTTGAATTGCAGAATAATTAGATGCGCTATCTAGTGTATATAAGATATCTATGGAATGGATAGATTAGAACTTAGTTAGAATCCACTTCCCCCCAAGCGAAATAGTTGCACAAATTGAAGTACAACCTCTCCCAAGTAGAGGCTTCTTCGAATTTTAAAATCCGTTAACCGCCATTGTTGTGTTACAAATACGCATGCGCTTGATCACAAAACACTTAATGCGCACGCGCAGATTAGAAAAACTGATCTCAATCCAGGACAGGACAAACCTGGACAAGAAAAAAATTATGAAATGTGCGAAAGCAGGGCTGAAATAAAACAAGATGACATCGAAGTATTTTAAAAATATATGATATTTTTACGTTCTGTTCATTTTAATGGAGTTCGCCAAACATTCTGAGGCCAGGAACACATCCAAGCCAACATTACAATAATAACTTATTTAAAAAAAAATGTGATTGACTTTTATACTACAAAAATTATAAAACGTTCGCAAGCAAATCTGTTTTTCAGGCTTTAAAGATTATTACAATCCTAAACATTCAGGACCGTACACAGCGGGGAGACGGGGGGGGGGGGGCAATTGCCCCCTTCAGAAAACTATATTTGCGATTTTTAGAATGTCATTAATTATTCTTCGGATATTTGGGACTTTTTTCGGCATATAGACCTTACTGCCCCCTGGTGGAAAAATCCTGCGTACGGCCCTGCAAACATTCTAGGACACGCATACCGTAATTTATCATATTTTTTTGGGGGGGGGAAGGAAGGGGGAGGGTGTTTCTAATATATACATAGCCTGCATGGCAGGCGGTACGTTGGAAATACCGCCTGCCGCAAAACTGGGTGTAAATGAACTACCGCCCCTGAAGCATCAACGCTATTTATAGATGCATAATTAAGTAAATATTCAAAATTAGCCACTCCCAAGCTGTTCCCAAGTCCCAACTGCCCAACATAAAATAAATTCCTTGATTCTCATCACCGCCGACTGAATTTTAGAATCCTCGTGAAAACGTTTTATTTTTAGTTACACAATATAAATGTACCGCCCGACAAAATAATTCAAGACAGTTAATTTTTTCATATTTTATATAGAGTTTTTATTGCCATTTTAAACTTCCAATTTGAAACAAACAGAATTAATTTTGAGTGAAATTTCATTGTATTTTAAAGAAACCCAGTCATTCTGTCATTGTTCGTGGAGATACGAACTATTGATATATAAATTATATAAATATAAAATATAAAAAATAAATCTCCCACTGTCTTCGACATTTCAAAGTGTAGACTGTGTCTAGTGATGAGAATCAAGGAATTTATTTTATGTGTTAATATAAACCAAGCCCGTTTAGCTTCCTTAAAACGGTGGTTTAATAAGCTCAAAATACAAAGCATGCAAGTCTATACTATAGATTCATCATCAGTCAACAACCAAACTGAAAGTATTGAACCTTATAGAACGATAGTTTTTATTTGTTTACAACTATACATATTCAACGGGTATATAAGAGTTTAACAGTTATTTGATAATTACTGCATCAACCGGCCCCTTGTTTATACTTTGGAGGTTCGTATATAACATCTATCAAGTATCTTTGGTTCAGAACATGACTGATAGGCCTATATGGAAATCCCACTGTTCGATTCAGTGAAGAAATATCTCCTAATTTCTATCGATAGTTTTAGTAAAATGTCAACATTATTGCGATTTATGGCCTTTGAAAGTCAAGCGAGATAGTATATTATCAAATTACAGTAATACGCATGTAATTGTCTGAACGAAAATATAGACTAGCCCATACCTTTCGCCGATCATAACTTCGGCCCCTTCGGACATATCTTCTTTGTTAAATATTCTTGTTCGGATCTCTATCAATAACACTATTTAGAGTATTATTTTCCAGCTTGTATCTTTTAATTTGCTTCTTTTATTATGTTATTCCATTTCTGGTCTGACTTGACGTGAACTAATTTCAAAACGCAGAGTTTCAAAACGTCAAAACATTTGGTTAATGATTAACATTTAACCGAATTTAGCCGTTGATTGACAACTACATAAAAAATACTAACCAATCCGTTTTTCCCGTTCACCAGCGGACGGGTAATTCAAAAACCCCTAGTTTTGCGGCAGACGGTATTTCCTTTGCTTCCCTAATTTTCGCTGCCCGTAGAAATACCGCCTGCCATGCAGGCTAGGCTGATGAGAAAGATCGTGACTCAATGTTTACGACCGTTACGACCATCTGGAAACCAGAAATAAAATTCCGCCATTTTTCTTTAATGAAACGATCAGGAGAATTACAAACTTGTAGACCACCATTCGTTATTCTGTACTCATCATAAGAGTACATTCGACCTTGGTACATCATTGAGAAGTTGTTCCATACTCTGTATTCATCTTCATATTTTATAGTGAAGGTAAAATTGACGCATTCGGTCACACATGTTATAAGTTTACCTTTATAAATAGCATAATCGTACTTTGTTATCAGCTGCTTTGTTGCCAAAATGCGAACTTTAAAATCCTTGAGCAAAGTATATTCCCATAGAATATTGAAAACTCAGTCCGAACGTTGTATTTATCATCGTTTTTTATATTGATGATTGAATCGTTGCACATTAGTAGATCTTCCTGGGTATACTCTGTTGATATGGGTCTGAACTGTTCATCGCACATATGAGGTTTACCGTCTCGCACCCCATAATCATTTCTTGTGAAATATTGATTCCTAGGAACGAAATAGACAGTGAACTCCTTGTTCACGGTGTAGTAATTTCGGTACAACCTAGACTCTCGAATTGGTTTATTGCAACTTTGTTGATGCATTGTCGCCTTTAGCCATTTATTGCGTACTTTCCAAATATTCCGTACGTAGTTATCAGTGGAGTTACAAATCGTTATGCTATCATTCAGAACTCGATACTCAGTATAATCGTACACCTTGTTCTTATAGAGTATTGAAAAGTCAGTCCGAACTTTGTATTTATCATCGTTTTTTATATTGATGATTGAATCGTTGCACATTAATAGATCTTCCTGGGTGTACTCAGATTTCGAATCAATTTCACGTCTGCTTCGGAGATGTTGAGTTGTGAGTGAAGAGGACGTTTCTCTTTTGGCTGTTTCTCTCAAGTCATTCTTGTGAAAAAATTGATTTTCCAATGAAGATATATTTTTACTGCCATCGTTTTGCCATTTTGTCTCATTTGAGTGGGAGATGGTTGTCGATTCTTTGCGTGGAACGTTTACCTCAGACAGCGATGAAGTTGAAAAAGCCAGTACTGGGCTTTTTTGTGTTTCACTTCGGAGTGTTTTCATCGCAGTTTCTAAAAATAAATTATGCTTAACAATTAATCCTTCTGAAGTGCTAACATTCTCACATTTTCAAAATTTACCTTTTCTCACCATCTTTGGAAGATCAATTTTGCTCCACGCCCCATCGATTTGTTTTGCATTTTCTGTCAAGTTAGAGACGCGTTCGTCTTGTTCGAGAGAAACGTCAACATTCAAGGGTTTACCTTTGAGTTCATCTTTTAATTTGTTCAGTTCTGTTTTATCTTCTCGCCTGTCGTACTCTGAACCACCACCATGATAAAAACAGGCGAAAATCAGACCGAAGGAAAAGAAAACGACTCGATACAAGAGTCGAAAACTAAATCCACGACCCATGTTGTAACTGCAAGCGTCGTTCAGCAACTGAGTATTATTTGGGCAAAACACAAAGTTTAAAAACGTTTTCAAGTTTGAGTTTGTTTTTATTTCACCAGCTGTTCTACTGGTCATACACTTCATACACTCAAAACGCTAATAAGGAGGCTCGTTACTGATATTGAAATTTCAGGTCGAATAGTTTGATATTCCTATAAATTTCGTATTTTTACGTTTCGTACTGGGGAATTAGGTTTTACATATTCTTAAGATTATGGTGGCATGTACATGCATGCATGCATTCATTCATTCATTAAAATGTTTCGTCTTCCAAATTAATTTTCGTAACACTTGAGTCCTGTATACAGACGAGCACAAGTTTCTTTGACAAATTTTGTTGCTCGCGTGTACGGTCAACATGTTTTACTTGACAAATATCCCGTGACATGTTTTGTTGCTCGACGCTGGTGTTCACGGAATGTTGTTAAACGTTTATCTCACGTCAAGGCCGCCTTTGAGCAAATACAATTGATTTGTCCTGGGCTTTAGTCAGGGGTGAAAATTACCCAATACTTTGTATCGCTGGGAAACAAGAACGGTTATTTTTTCCGTGCGCAAGCACGTTTTTCGATATTTCTGTGCAGAACAAAAATATACTAAAGCCATTTTCTTTAAGAGAAAAAAATTCCTTTTGTTCAAATTTAATTTTTTTTGGCAAAACAGAATTTTATTTTGGCATTGTAGAATTTTCTGTTTTGTTATACATGTGCAAAACATGTTTTTGTCAATCGAGCGAAATATCAAAATATACATGGCACTTATTAAGTTATTCATGCATGGCGTTCGCAGTTAACACTTAAACCTGGTTTCCATATGGTCGTAAAGATTGAGTCACGATCTTTCTCATCAGCCGAAATACAACATTTGAGAACTGAAAATACGCGGACTGATTGTAACCAGAGAATACTTATGATTTATATGTGGTTTACGGGTATAAACTATTATAAACTGGCCGTTGAGAAAGATCGTGACTCTATTTTTACGACCATTACGACTATATGGTAATCAGGCTTTAACGGCCAACAGATGAAATGAAGCTGGATGGGGAGAGCAATTCGCAACGTCTTTTGGGGGTTTTTTATTGGTTATTATTTCCGCGCACATGAATAATCATGCAGGTTTATCGGTAATTTATAAGAAATTTCGTGAGCATTTTTTGTCCAACCATCTTGTCCCTTTGATATTGGACGTTCCATATATTTCTACTCATCTTTCAATAGCTGTGACGATATTGTGTCGTAGGCAACCAAGTGTTAATTTAAGCCCATTTCGGCCACTAGGCGAATTTGTTCACGCGAAGAAACAAATCATGGCAATGTGATTGGTCAGCGAAAAAATTCGCCGCGAAAAAGTTGGATGAGTTCCTAGTAGGCAAAAACACTTTTCAGTTTAGAGTAATTCAGAGTTGTATAAACTGCCTATATAATAGTGTGTTTAATATAGCACTGAATAACCGATTTGACCAACTCACGGGCGTTCAATATTGATGACGTCAATACAATTAGCCTTTCACGCGATGACGAATATCCGCCATTTTTGGGTGCCATCTAATTGTAGTTAACCAATGCAGACAATTACAATAAAACAATTGAAAAGCAATTTTTCCAAATAAACTTCATATTCACCTGAGTACATTACAACAAGACCGTTACAAAGCAAATTTACCCATATCATCCGTCCAAAAAATTATAAAAAGTCGCTGTTATGTGGACTTATCTCGCAGACTTCGGCTGAAAAGCCACCCAAAAATGGCGGCGTGAGAAAGGCTAATTGAATTAGAATTAAGCCAGTTTTCCACCTCAAAGAAAATGCTACGATACCACGGAGACGATATACGTTACGATACCGTAGTGGGAAACTGGCTTTATAAGTATAGGGCATTTATAAGAGCAAGGGTTACGGTTCGGATCAAGAAAATTTTGTGCCAAAATCCAAACTCTTGCACATGCGCAATATTGCCACAGTTGAATAGAGAAATTCTTACGTGAATGTTACACATCTCCTATTTATGAGATATTCTGAATTTCCAATATGGCGACTTTATTTGGCGAAAGTTTTGAATTGTGTAAAATTCCGAATGGAGCTGAACTTATTAGCGCTGAAAAACATTCTGAAGACGACCATTTTATTGCGGAAATTTGCTGAGATTTTTGGCAAGGTGCATGGAGACCCTGATGGAGACTGACGGGGCTCCCCTCCACGGAAACCGAAGTAGAAAGATAGAAATTTTCCATTTTTTTTATTTACTTGACCACAAACATGTACATTAATACTTGCTTGCCTGCATACTTAACCTCCTTTGCTTGCTTGCTTACCTGCTTAACTTGCTTGCTTACTTATTTACACTTATACAGCCGACTTACTTCCACTATAATCTATTCAGCGGAAGTTCGTTAACTGCCGGCTTATTGTTTGCTGGGAAATATTTTTTCTTGAGCAACTGATAATTTCTTCGTGTGAAGACAAACGCAATACCAATGTAGGCACCAGTAAGCAATGTTACAGTATACAACACTATCTTTATGTCGAAATCAAAATCCACGATTCTAGATATGAAGAGAGGAAACCAATAACTTAAGGCTGTAGTGGTTGACAACTTGAGCAATATGACAAATTTACGACGCTTAACAACATTCGATTTCTGTGCAATGTTCCTGCTTGCCTTGAGTTTTTGGCGAATTCGATAAGCAGTGAAGATGAACATTCCAATAATGTACAACAAAAGACAACCTTGAAGGCCATATACATCAACAGCAGCTGACCAATCAGGAGTAATTCGACCATTGATACAATCTCCAGAGATCTGTTGATAAATCCTTGCGTCATCTTCCTTCCCATCTCCATTCTCGAATACAATGCGTTCATAAAACTTTAAGCTTGACTGAACATCTTTCTTCAAAGATACAATAGGTTGATAAATCTTTGCATCATCTTCCACAGTGCTTTGATCAACTCTTAACTCTGGCTGGGCATCTTTCTTTAAAGATACAATAGGTTGATAAATCCTTCCATCATCTTCCGTCGCATCCTCCTTCCAACGTACAGTGCTTTGATTAAACTTTGACTGCACATTTTTCTTGAAGGATGCAATACGTTGATAAATCCTTATTTCATTTGCCGTCGCATCTCCATGACTTCCATTCGCAAATACAATGCGTTGATAAAACCTTGAACTAGACTGAACATCGTTCTTCACAGACGCAATATGTTGATCAAACCTTAGAACATCTTCCTTTACTAGTACAATGTAAACAATCGTTATAATGACGGGAACCCCCCAGCTAAAGAAACTATACTTCAAAAACCTGTTCCACTTCTTCAGTTCATCAGATTTCACCAAAGTATTACCACAAAAGGTTTTTCTTAAGTGATAGATATTAACCGCAGCATTCATAATTATACTGTACGTCATAAACTTATTTACTACAAACAGCCTAGCACACGGTATCTCAAACAGTTTACCTACATGAGAATACAGCGACAAAAATACTACAAGGTAAATCTGCCACAACAGCAAGGCGAAGCTTAAACTCATTAAATTCAAACCAGGAAGTGTGCGCAGTTCTGGAAGCATGCAGTAAACTATCAACAACAATAGCAAAGAAATAATAGAAAGCGCTAAAGCACATAATGGTGCTATAATAATCTTAAAGTTTGTAATTACGTAAATTGGTCTCAAGTTTTCCTTGCCGCATACATAAGGTTTGCTGTCTATCACCGCATAGTCATTTCTTTTGAAATATTGACCGTTATCTGCCGAATACACAGCAAACTGCTTTGTCACAGTGTAGTATCTTGCATTTAATTTATAAGAACGATAACAGGATGCGGGTAATGACTTTTGCCACGAATTTCGCGTTCTCCAAATGGCTTGAACTGTTGAATCATTGGAACCACACATTTCAAGACTGTCGTGGCTGAATCGGTATTCGCGATAATCGTATATCTTCTTGTTGTAAACCAGCGAAAAGTTTTTAAAAACATTGTATTGTTCACCGTACTTTACTTTGATCAAATCATCATTACAGGAGAATCTAAGCTTTGCCGAACAAATTGCAAAATACCCCAAAATAACTCCGTAATCTTGCCTTGGGAAATTTTGATTCGTAGGTTTGAGGAAAACAGTAAAGTTTGTATGTAATGTGTAATTTTCGAAGTAAAAACCGTCCACCGATGCATTACAATGTTTGAAAGCTATCGTTATCTTTTCTGAAACAATGAAATTCCGCCATTTTTCTTTAATGAGACGGTCAGAAGAATTACAAACTTGTAGACCATCATCCGTTATTCTGTACTCATCATATGAGTACATTCGACCTTGGTACATCATTGAGAAGTTGTTCCATACTCTGTATTCATCTTCATATTTTATAGTGAAGGTAAAATTGGCGCATTCGGTCACACATGTTATAAGTTTACCTTCAATTACGTCATAACCGTACTCTGTTATCAGCTTCTTTGTTGCCGAAATCAGAATTTCAAAATCCTTAAGCACGGTGTATTCCCATCGGTCAAACTGAATGTATGTGATGGGTTTATTGCAACTTTTATAATGCATTGTCGCCTTTACCCATTTATTGCGTACTTTCCAAATATTCCTTACGTAGTTATCAGTGGAGTTACAAATCTTTATGCCATCATTCAGAATCGATCGATACTCAGTATAATCGTACACAATGTTCTTATAAAGTATTGAAAAGTCAGTCCGAACTGTGTATTCATCATTGTATTTTATATTGACGATTGAATCGTTGCACATTAATAGATCTTCCTGGGTATACTTTCTTGATGCGGGTCTCAACTTTTCTATGCATATATAAAGTTCAGCGTTTCCCACCCAATAGTCATTTCTTGTTAAATATTGACCATTACCTCCAGAATAGACAGTGAACTGCTTATTCACAGTGTAATACTCTCGGTACAACGAAGAGATTCTAATGGGTTTATTGCAACTTTTGTAATGCATTGTCGCCTTTACCCATTTATTGCGTACTTTCCAAATATTCCTTACGTAGTTATCAGTGGAGTTACAAATCTTGATGCTATCATTCAGAATTCGATACTCAGTATAATTGTACACTTTGTTCTTATAGAGTATTGAAAAGTCAGTCCGAACTTTGTATTCATCTTCGTGTTTTATATTGATAATTGAATCGTTGCACATTAATAGATCTTCCTGCATGGTATACTCTGATGATGTGGGTCCGAACTTTTCCTCGCATATATAAAGTTTGGCGTATTCGACCCCATAGTCATTTATTGTGAAATATTGACTCCGAGGGGCGGAATAGACAGTGAACTGCTTATTCACAGTGTAATACGTTCGGTACAACCAAAAGTTTCTATTGGGTTTATTGCAACTTTTTTCATGCATTGTCGCCTTTACCCATTTATTGCGTACTTTCCAAATATTCCGTACGTAGTTATCAGTGGAGTTACAAATCTTTATGCTATCATTCAGAACTCGATACTCAGTATAATCGTACACCTTGTTCTTATAAAATATTGAAAAGTCAGTGCGAACTTTGTATTTATCATCGTATTTTATATTGGTGATTGAATCGTTGCACATTAATAGATCTTCCTGGGTATACTCTGTTGATATGGGTCTGAACTGTTCTTTGCATATATAAGGTTTACCGTTTTCCACTCCATAGTCATTTCTTGTGAAATATTGATTCCTAGATACGTAATAGACAGTGAACTGCTTATTCACAGTGTAATACTTTCTGTGCAACCAAAAGGTTCTAGTGGGTTTAATGCAACTTTTGTAAAGCATTGTCGCCATTACCCATTTATTGCGTACTTTCCAAATATTCCGTACGTAGTTATCAGTGGAGTTACAAATCTTTATGCTATCATTCAGAACTCGATACTCGGTATAATCGTACGCCTTGTTCTTATAGAGTATTGAAAAGTCAGTCCGAACTGTGTATTCGTTATCGTATTTTATATTGATGATTGAATCGTTGCACATTAATAGATCCTCCTGGGTATACTCGGTTGATATGGGTCTCAGCTTTTCTGTACATATATAAAGTTTGGCGTCTTGCACCGCATACTCATTTCTTGCTAAATATTGACCATTTTCTCCCGAATAGACAGTGAACTGCTTATTCACAGTGTAATACTCTTGGTAAAACCAAAAGGCTCTTGTTGGTTTATTGCAACTTTTATAATGCATTGTCGCCTTTACCCACTTATTGCGTACTTTCCAAATATTCCTTAGGTAGTTATCAGTGGAGTTACAAATCTTGATGCCATCATTCAGAACTCGATACTCTGTATAATCGTACACCTTGTTCTTATAGAGTATTGAAAAATCAGTCCGAACTTTGTATTCATTGTCGTATTTCATATTGATGATTGAATCGTTGCACATTAATAGATCTTCCTGGGTATAGTGTGTTGATGTGGGTCTGAACTTTTCTTCGCATATATAAAGTTTGGCGTTTTGCACCCCATAGCCATTTCTTGTGAAATATTGACCATCACCTCCCGAATAGACAGTGAACTGCTTATTCACAGTGTAATACTTTCGAGTTAACAAACCGGTTCTAATGGGTTTAATGCAACTTTTATAATGCATTCTCGCCTTTACCCAGTCATTACGCAGTTTCCAAATATTCCTTACATCGTTATCAGTGGAATTACAAATCTTTATGCTATCATTCAGAACTCGATACTCAGTATAATTGTACACCTTGTTCTTATAGAGTATTGAAAAGTCAGTCCGAACTTTGTATTCATCATCGTATTTTATATTGAGGATTGAATCGTTGCACATTAATAGATCTTCCTTAGTATACTCTGTTGATGTTGGTCTCAACTTTTCTTTGCATATATAAGGTTTACCGTTTTTGACCCCATAGTCATTTCTCGTGATATATTGACTCCTAGCTGCGTAATAGACAGTGAGCTGTTTATTCACGGTATAGTACCTTGCATCTGATAATTTATCAACAGATCCGCGGCATGTATACTGGTCTTTAAACCTTTCCCACGAAGTTCGAGTTCTCCAAATGGCCCGAATTCTTGTATCATTGGAAGCACACATTTCAAGACCTTCGTTTCCGAGTCGATATTCGCGATAATCGTATATCTTGTTGTTGTAAAACAGCGAAAAGTTTTGCAAAACGTTGTACCGATCACCGTATTTCACTTTAACCAAATAATCATTGCAGGACAGACTAAGTTTTGCAGAACAAATTGTAAAATATCCAAACGTCACTCCGTAATCTTGCCTTCTGAAACTCTGCTCAGTAGGTTTGAAGAAAACAGTAAAATTTGTGTATAATGTGTAATTGGAGTAGTAAAATGCGTCCATGGATACATTACAATATTTGGAAGCCAACACTTCCTTTTCCTGAGCAATCAAATCCCGCCATCTTTGTTTAATAAGGGGGTCAGAAGAATTACAAACTTGTAGACCATCGTCCGTTACTCTGTACTCGTTATAACGGTACATTCGGCTTCGGTACATCATTGAAAAGTTATTCCATACTCTGTAATTATCTTCATACTTTATAGTATAAGTAAAATTGGCGCATTCGGACAGACTTTCCAAGATCGCATGAATTTCACGTCTGTTCCGGAGATGTTGAGTTGTGAGTGAAGCGAACGTTTCACTTTGGGATGTTTCTCTCAAGCGATTTTGGTGAAAAATTTGATTTTCCAGTGAAGATATATTTTTGCTGCCATCGTTTTGCCATTCTGTCTCATTTGAATGGGAGGTAATGGCAGTCGATTCTTTGCGTGGAACGTTTACTGGGCTCTTTTGTATTCTTTCACTTCGGTGTGTTTTCATCGCAGTCCCTAAAAATAAATTATAGTTAACCATTACTTCTTCTGAAGTGCTAACATTCTCACATTTTCAAATTTTATCTTTTCTAACCATCTTTGAAAGATAAGTTTTCTTCCGCGCCTTGCGGCCATCGATTTGTTTCGCATTTTTCTGTCAAGTTAGAGACGCGTTCGACTTGTTCAAGAGAAACGTCAACATTCAAGGATTTACCTTTGAATTCATCCTTTAATTTGTTCGGTTCTGTTCCATCTTCTCGCATGTCAAACTCTGAACCACCGCCATGATAAAAACAGGCGAAAATCAGACAGAAGGAAAAGAAAACGACTCGATACAAGAGTCGAAAACTAAAGCCACGACCCATGATGTTGCAACTACAAGCGTCGTTCAGCAACTGTGTATTATTTCGGCAAAACACAAAGTTTAAAAACGTTTTCAAGTTTGAGTTTGTTTTTATTTTGCCAGCTGTTCCACTGGTCATACACTTCATACACTCAAAACGCTAATAAGGGGGCTCGTTACTGATATTGAAATGTCAGGTCGAACAGTTTGATCTTGTTTAAATTTCGTATTTTTACGTTTCGTATATGGGGAAATACTTCTATGGTTTTGGCAAACAAAATTAGGCGGCATTGACGCGAGATACTGAAATGTTTAGCAACATTCTGTGCACATGAACAACAAAACATGTCAAGGGAAAACTTGTTGACAACACACACGAGCAACAAAATTTGTGAAGGAGACTTATGCTCGTCTGTATACAGGGCTCAAGTGTTACGAAAATTAATTTGGAAGACGAAACATTTTAATGTATGTAGGCTATACATGCCATAATTTTAAAAATATGTAAGTTACATATTTTTTAAATTATGGCATGTACATAGGCCTACATTAAAATATTTCGTGTTCCAATTAATTTTCGTAACACTTGAGCCCTGTATACAGACGAGCACAAGTTTCCTTGACAAATTTTGTTTCTCGTGTGTGCGGTCAACAAGTTTCCCTTGACAAGTTTCCCGTGAAATGTTTTAATTGTCGCTCGACGCTCGTGTGCAGGGAATGTTATCAAACATTTATATCACGTCAAGTCGCCTAATTTTGTTTGTCAAAATCATAGAAGTATTTCTTGTACACTTGTCAAGTTTTCCTCGTGGCCCTACACACGAACAAATTTTCCTTGTCAAAAGCTCGCATGTCTAGCATTGGGACAAGGCTCCTAGTTGGTAAGGAAAAATTGTCAACTTTTGCCGTACACACGGACAAATAAAGTTTATCAAGAAAATTTGCCCATCTGTCCGGGGCTTTAGTCAGGGGTGAAAATTACTTAATGCTTCGTGTCTCTAGGACTCCAATTTTTTCCATGCTCATTTTTTTATATATATGTGCAGAAGAAAAATACTAAAGGTCTAAAGCCATTTTCTGTAAGAAAAATTTCGTTTTCTTCGAATTTAATTTTTTTTGGCAAAACATAATTTTATATTGGCATTGTAGAATTTTCTGTTTTGTTTATACAATGTGCAAAATTTGAACATATATATATATATGTCAATCAAGCGAAACGTTAAAATATGCCTGGCACTTTGTTTTCTTAAAGTTATTCATGCATGGCGTTCCCATTTAACAGCCAACAGATGAAATGAAGCTGGATGGAGAGAGTAATTCGCAACGTCTTTTTTTGTTTTTTTTATTGGTTATTATTTCCGCGCACCCGAATATTCCTTTGCAGGTTTATCGGCAATTCATAAGAAATTTCGTGAGCATTTATACGCCCAACCATCTTGTCTAACACTGGAATGTAAATTAAGTGTGTACGCCTGACATGTCCGGTGTACAAACACACACTTTGGCGTACAAATGGCGTACATTTGTTTACATAGACTAGTAATTGTTCAGAATTCACAAATTTGGACCAAACAGGTTTATACTAAAAAGGTGTATTTGGAACTTTTGCGCTTTTATATTTCCAAAATTGGCGTACATTTATTACATATATTTCTACTCATCTTTCAATAGCTCTGACGATATTGTATCGTCGCTGCATCCAAGTGTTAATTAACATGAAAACTGTCAAATAATTCAAGTCATGTACCATGTTCAAGTATATGTCTTGAGGTCCAGAGACACCGGACGCGATTCGACAACGCGACCCGATTTTTTAGTTTTTGAAGTTAATAAAACAGCCAATGAGAGCAAATTGTATGAGATATGTAGACCAAATAACTCAAATTGTTATAGAGCTTCTAAATATTTGGAAAATTTAAACTAGAGTTATCTGTCGGTGAAAATCGAAAAATCGCGTTGCGTTGTCGAATCGCGTCCAGTGTGTCTGGACCTTTAGTCAACAATTGTTTGTTGGGCTAAAATATTCATATTTCAATGACAGCTTTTTTCACCTGTTTAGATATATGTCACGGGCATTTTTAAAATAGCAATGGAGGAATAATTTACAGTCACGTAGTGTGTATGATACGACCCACAAGCCTTGTTTTCATATTCACTTGCGGAGCATTTTATAAATCTTAAATCTTTTAATGTTCTCAAGAAAACAAGTTGCGTTGGGCCGTAATTAAAGAACCGAAATAAAACTGAAATCTGTTTCATTTAGTGTGAGCAATAAAATTAACTTCCCAATAGAACAAGAACATTCAAAATACTAATTCGTTTGTATGGAACGTCAGTTCTAGCTAAAGAGCAATCTTCGACGTCAGTTATTTTTTTGGTCGGGGGGGGGGGTATGGGTTAAAATTTCCACTCACATGAATGATTATGGCAGACTGAAGGCTATCAATCTCGTATCCAGAGCAATGCCTGTGCGCGGGCTAGGATGGCATTGGCTCTGGGGAAATTGAATTTTTCCTGTTCTGTGATTGGGTTAACGTTTATCAATCGTGCATTGCCGACAAAGAACCGGAACCCCTAAATTTAGGGGTTCCGGTTGTCAATTTCCCCAGAGCCAATGCCATCCTAACCCGCGCACAGGCATTGCTCTGGGTACGAGATTGGAAGACCATGGCATACGAGGCAATTTTGTTGCAACTTGCAACGGAATTTTTGACATGAAGCGATGTTATCTCAAAAGTAGTTGTACGAAAATTGTGAACATAACCCATTTCTTTCACGAATGCGGTAAACCCACTGATAACTCTGAATATAAGCCCCTCCGAATATAGCTGAGTGCCCCTCATCACTGGTTGGGCTGTAGAGACTCGTTCCCAGAGTGGTATGGCCATTCGCAGGTTAGGCCTGCTGGCTCCTAACCTGCAAAGGGTATACTCTGGGAACGAGATTGGCTGAAGAAAGGTTCTTGCGCATTACATGTAAATTATTGCCGATAGTTGCATTTTTCACAACTGTTCCTGGTTAGGTCTAAAATAAATATATAAAAATTTCATTTCTTCCATTTAGAGAAACTCTTCAGTGAAAGTTACATAAAGTATCTTCTATTTATAAGATTCTGAATTTCCAATATGGCGACTTTTGGCACAGGGGATCCAACTAAGAGCTGTGTTATGAATATGAATAAAACATTAATTAAACGTAATATGAATAAAACATCATAACGTAATATATTTAAATTATTGCACTTACTTGTATAAATCATAAGAGCTTGTATTTGCAGTGAATAGCTTTTAACAGGGCGCTTATATACGCTCAGAAAATCGCTCAGAAACATTTTGATTCGAACGATTGTTCAAATATGGCGAATAAATTGACAAAACGAAAATATTACATGACGTTCCAACGAAAATAACAGAAAGGATTGCGGGCGCGAGCGGAAGGCGAGGGTAATAGATATTAATAGAAGGGATGAAACACCGGTAATGCGATCGTGTGATGTGTTCCATAAGTAGCCTGTTCTCTGGAAAATTCCAAAACGCCTCCTGCCAACTCCAACAACGCCTAAGCGCTTAATTAATGAAAATAAACAATGTTTAGCTATACCGGCTAATATGAAATGTTTAAATGTAGCGACCAACGTTTTTTTTTACATTATTTAGTTTTATTATTATTTCGTCATACGTCACGAGAACAGGCTACTTATGGAACACATCTCGCGATAATGGCCAAGAATGCTCGCTGTTATAAATCACATAAATAGATTGATCAGTGCTTTTTTGGTAATGACTAGGCTTGTTCATGTAAGAGAACATCGACTGAGCCTTAAAAACCCCACAAAAAGCTTAAACGGATAGTCTAGAAGCATTTTAAAAAGTCACGTGATATTTGTTTCATCTCTTCTATTTATTTCTTCCCTGAGTTCCCTCGCCTTTTCGCGCGCCCGCAATCCTTGCTGTTACTTTCGTTGGAACGTCATGTAATATTTTCGTTTTGTCAATTTATTCGCCATATTTGAACAATCGTTCGAATCAAAATGTTTCTGAGCGATTTTCTGAGCGTATACACAGAGTAGATAAGACATACAGAGACGTAACTGACCGTTGTAAACACTGCGGAAGATTACGTTATCATGTACCCACTTTTTTTCATGCGACCGGGCGAAAAATGATCAACTGCGCGTGCTCAGCAAGTTTAAAGTAAGTCGTCATCAGGTCGTCATCCAATCAGATGCATGCATCTAGTAACTTGCCGAGCATGCGCACAAAAAAAGTGGGTACACTAGTTACGTCTCTGTATGTCTCTACTCTGTGGCGTATATAAGCGCCCTGTTAAAAGCTATTCACTGCAAATCAAGCTCTTATGATTTATACAAGTAAGTGCAATAATTTAAATATATTACGTTATGTTTTATTCATATTCATAACACAGCTCTTAGTTGGACCCCCTGTGCTTTTGGCGAAAGTTTTGAATTGTGTAAAATTCCGAACGGAGCTGAACTTATTGGCGTTGAAAAACATTCTGAAGGCGACCATTTTATCCTGACATTTAAAAATAAAGAAATTCTTGTATATAATGTGAGTTTTGTTCCTTTTTGCACTGGGTCTGGGAATAGACTAATAGTTTTCTGTTTTTCAAAACGACGAAAGGTCGAAAACCTTTTATACTGTACAAAACCTTGATAATTTGCATTGTTCGCTTGATAACAGTCATAACACGTGCTGTTTCCAAGTGTTTAGTGCAGTGACAATATTAATTGGATTGTACATAAGTGATAAGTTATACAGTTGTATAAATATGTAAAATAATTTTAATTGTAACACACTTTAGGCCACTCCAAATTAGACTTTAGTTTCCCGTCCGGCCCTTATTTCAAATTACATGCGGGCGGGCAGCCATTTCCATTATCCATTATGGTGTCTGAAAGATGAAATACGGACCATTATTTCATGAAATAGATACTCGTTTTAAATATCCATTCAGTCACGTTTCTACGCAATGTTTTAGAGTTTTTGTATGCAGAAATGAAAGCCAGGATATTAACCTCATCGGTTTTGACGTTCAAAAATCAAAACTTGTAACGGAAGTGTGTAGCTCAGCAGTTCGTAGTGAAAACGGAAAAAAATTCACGCTCTTTGACAAAAGTTTCAAGAATTTTATTTCGATTTTACGTGTTGTATCATAAATATGTATTTCTTGAACGATAGATTATTTGAAAACTGTGGTTTTTCGTAATTGTTTGTCACAAAAGTCAAATAATGGAAACAACTTCGCAATAATGGACAAATCATGCAGCCAGTTCTAGGAGACGCGGGCGGAGGACGGGAAACTAAAGTCTAATTTGGAGTGGCCTTATATTAATTTAATACAATAAAAATAAATAATAATTAATTAAAGTAAAAAGGTTCAATTCTCCATAGTGGAAAGTATGCCTTTACATTGCTGCAATATTTCTGACCACTTCACATTAGGCTGTGATGTTTGTTGGTAAACCGATAAATATGGTGGGGTTTTTTTTTCAAATATGATGTTTTATGGTTTCATCTATGTTGGCGAAAACTGAGAAAATGGACTGACGAATCTTACATCACCATTCGTTCACTTTGAAAAGAAGATGAAGCTTGATCAGAATGCAGATAGGCTGTAGCCAGTCTTCCTAAAAAGCTGTAAAATAGACCAATAGTAGTATTTTTAGCAGTCTGTCTTTTGCGGGAAAATTCGATAATGATGTATAAATAAAAGATGTCTCAAGCGTCAAGATGGCAGAGAAAAGAAAGTTGATTGATTTTTTATGGTTAAAGCCTTATTTCCACATTTTATTGATCAAAATCTAAAATTATTTTTTTATGAATGTGTTGAAGAAGGATGTTCTGCTTCTCTGCCCATAGCTCTTGAGAAACGAACTTGAAATCCTTTCCATTTAAAGTGGTCCTAACTCCTAAGTTGAAAACAGTATAGTTGTGATGTAATTATTGAAAGAGTGTATTTTCGAACATTTACCCAAATGTTTGCTGTGCATTTGGGAAACACATGTCATTGTGAGTCCAGTCGGCAAGCTTCCAATGTTGTTTCGATGTAAAATTGCGGGTAAAATTTTTTTCAAAACTTGATACTTATATATACGCATGCACTGCGCCATATTACTCAAGGGACTTCAATTTGTATCCCAAATGAGAATAATTTCACTGCTCAGACTACAGCTTTACATGCAATTCTCAACAGTGGAAAAATGTGACTTCAAGCGGCATTTTTAAATCGGATTGTATATTTGGCTATTTTTGATCGTAATGATACAAGAAAGGTAGCATTCGACAACTATAAGCGAGGTCTTTATTGATATGAAAAAAGAAAATCGGTAAACGTAATAATTTACACACGATAAACTGTCAAATTTGGATTACCTTTTTCTTATTCTCCTTGTTTATCGGTTATATATAATCGTTAACGGATTAGGTTCATTGCGTCGTGGGTTCGAGGGATGCGAAATTATGAAACAAACACATGTCCATTCACAGGAAAAGATTTTAAATTTCCATTAATGGTTTTGAATGGTTTTTCAAGATTTACCATGTATACTATCAATGTAAAAACCATTATTGGTTATTATACATTTCCAATATGGTAAATTGGTAAAACCCATGATGTTTAATTATTCACCATTAATATTATTTTTCTGGCAAATATTAAACATATTTTTTACTAATTTACCAATAATGGTAAGAGTTCAGTTTTTACATTCTAAAATCCAGGCAATTTGCTCTGTCACTCAAAGAAAACACACAGACGATTGTTCACGTATAGTGGGATAAATGGGGGAAACAAGGGACAACTGAGCGTTTGTTATAGTAATATTTATCGAAGTTTGCATATGTACTAAATCTGCTATAATTCATTGTATTTAAATTTCATAGATGTATATTTAATTGACATTCCAAATAAGTCTGATTGAGATAAATGGCTTTATGGCCAAGAATAAGCAATAAAAGTAGACTAGTGGGAAGGTATTCTGACTCAGAAACATTTATTTATTACCATTTTTATGTGGCTTTCTATCACAGGATACCAGATGTTGACGAGGATCTAATTCACATTTCCCAGCTTTTTTGACCAGATCCCCCTTTCCCAACTGTGAAATTGAAAATTCCGGATCAGGTAGTTCATCTATGGGGTGATCGAAACGCAATGCTATACCTTCAATACACCTTTCCGGTAATTACGTCACAACTAACACTGTTTTCAACTTAGGACCACCTTAAATGGAAAGGATTTCAAGTTTTTTCTCATGGGCTATGCACAGAGAAGCAGAACATCCTTCTTCAACACATGCATGAAAAAGAATTCTTTATTTTGACCAATAAATATGGAAATAAGGATTAACAGGAAAACGAGGCTCCAGGTCATGACCTGGAGCCTCGTTTTCGTGTTAATGCTTATTTCCACATTTATTGATCGAAATCCAAAATTTTTTTTCCCGCATGTGTTGAAGAAGGATGTTCTGCTTCTCCGTGCATAGCCCATGAGAAAGAAACTTGAAATCCATTCCATTTAAGGTGGTCCTAAGTTGAAAACAGTGTAGTTGTGACGTAATTATCGAAAGGATGTATTGGTTGGTTTAGTTATAGATACAGGGTATGTTGAAAAATGTCTACGAGCTGTTGGGGCGAGTCATGGATGTTCTTATGCCACGTTATGAAGTCATCTGAATGTCCATAAATGTTCAGAATAAGGTAAAATATTATCTATTTGTTTTTACGGTACCAGAGCAGTGAATTAGAACGGGAAAGCGGAAACACTCGCACAATGGCGGTCATTTCGTGGCAAATTTTGTGCCTATACTTTTTGTAGTATACGGTACTCTACTTTCTAGATATTCTTTTGTTACAATATAAATAAAATGAGGAACAATATAAAAAATGTGGCTCTAAATTGTCGAGTTTAACAACAAAGTTTGCACATTGTTTGGAAAAATGATATGCAAAAAATTTACTATTTCTGCAAAAGCGATATGCACATCGGCACACATCGTTAGCCCATTAAAGTGCAAGACTCTGTTTCGGGACTTTGAAGCGCGATGGACTGAGATTGCTAAGTCGGACATGATCTATACAAAACAAACCACTTCACTGGTGCCTCTGAAAGAGGTGTCGCATGTGCTTGGGTAAGCCTTAGAAATATCACTTCATTGAAACGACGTCATCCGTCAGTCTGTCCTCTAGCAGATCATGGCTCTCGAACGATGAAGAGGCAGATTGAACTCAGATTATTATATAGATTATAGAGAACTCCTGTTAAATTAAACTTGTGTGAGTAGATTTAAATACTTAAGGCACATTTTGTCAACCTCCTGTGTTGTGGAAATTTCCTGAGATTTTCGGCATGGTGGAAACTGACGGGGCTCCCCTCCTTGGAAACAAAATGAGAAAGATGGAAATTTTGCATTTTTTATTTACTTTACTACAAACATGAAACATCTAAAATACAATGTATATACATACTTTTTAAATTAATGGCATTATATATTTTAAGCGTTTTCACTTTGGGTAGAATACGTTGCATTTTTTTACAAGTGGTGTACATGATTACAGATGATTTCAAATTAATCACTGTTCATTGATTACTGTTTACTTATACTTACTTTATGTACACACATATTTCCTTTATATATTACTACGTAACATGCTTGCTTGCTTGCAGCCCTTGAGGTATCCGTTTGAAGTCCTGGCTAATAATAATTTGGGTATGGCCAATGCTGTTTCGCTCTACTGAGGCTCCGGCTATTTATTTATTTATTTATTAAACTTTGCCAAAAACACACCAGAACAACAAATAGACATCTAGACAATAAACATGAACAAGAATGGCAGGGACACCACAACAGTGTAAACCAATTACTATGGGCCCTGATAATTGATGAGCGAAGCGAATATGCAAACAATGGAAGGTCGAAGCTTTAAGGGCGTTGTGAGTTGAGTGGTCGGCAAAGGCTTGCAAGCTTTGTCTATTAATTTGGTATATTGTCTGAGTGCAAGACCGGGCTAAAAATTTCAGCTTGTCTTGACTGCAAGTACCGGCGAATTGCACACATCCTCTGGCGAATGGCTGTCAAATGTCTTCTTAGAGCTGGAGAAATTTGCCGTTCGCTGGCCTAAAGCAAGATGGGTGGAGCAGTTCCTTGCTTAATTGCTTATTTACCCTTATACAGTCGACTTACTTCCACTATAGTCTATTCGATTCAGCGGAATTTCGTCATCTGCAGGCATCTTATTGTTTGCTGGGAAATATTTTTTCTTGAGCAACTGATAATTTCTTCGTGTGAAGACAAACGCAATACCAATGTAGGCACCAGTAAGCAATGTTACAGTATACAACGCTATCTTTATGTCGAAATCAAAATCTACGATTCTAGATATGAAGAGAGGAAACCAATAACTTAAGGCTGTAGTGGTTGCCAGCTTGAGCAATATCACAAATTTACGACGCTTAACAATATTTGATTTCTGTGCAACGTTCCTGCTTGCCTTGAGTTTTTGGCGAATTCGATAAGCAGTGAAGATGAACATTCCAATAATGTACAACAAAAGACAACCTTGAATGCCATATATATCAACAGCAGCTGACCAATCGGGAGTAATTCGACCATTGATACAATCTCCAGAGATCTGTTGATAAATCCTTGCATCATCTTCCCTCCCATCTCCATTCGCGAACCCAATGCGTTCATAAAACTTTAAGCTTGACTGAACATCTTTCTTCAAAGATACAATAGGTTGATAAATCTTTGCATCATCTTCCGTCGCATCTTCCTTCCCAAGTACAGTGCTTTGACTAAACTTTGACTGGGCATCTTCAAGTACAGTGTCAGTGCTTTGATTAAACCTCGACTCTGATTCCAGGACATCTCCCTTCAAGGAGGCAATACGGTGATAAATCCCTATATTATTTGCCATCGTCTTTCCATTCGCAATGCGTCGATAAAATCTTAAGCTCGATTGAACGTCGTTCTTCACAGACGCAGTAGGTTGATCAAACCTTAGAACATCTTCCTTTACTAGTACGATGTAAACAATTGTTATAATGATGGTAACTCCCCAGCTAAATACACTATACTTCAAAAATCTGTTCCACTTCTTCAGTTCATCAGATTTCACTAGAGTGTTGCCACAAAAGGTTTTTCTTAAGTGATAGATATTAACAGCAGCATTCATAATTATGCTATACGTCATAAACTTATTTGCTACAAACAGCCTAGCACATGGCATCTCAAACAGTTTACCTACATGAGAATACAGTGACAAAAATACTACAAGGTAAGTTTGCCACAACAGCAAGGCGAAGCTAAAACTCATTAAATTCAAACCAGGAAGTGTGCGCAGTTCTGGAAGCATGCAGTAAACTATCAACAACAATAGCAAAGAAATAATAGAAAGCGCTAAAGCACATAATGGTGCTATAATAATCTTAAAGTTTGTCATTACATAAATTGGTATTAAATTTTCTTTGCCGCATGCATAAGGTTTACCATCTATCACCGCATAGTCATTTCTTTTGAAATATTGACCGTTATCTGCCGAATACACAGCAAACTGCTTTGTCACAGCGTAGTATCTTGCATTTAATTTATAAGAACGATAACAGGATGCGGGTAATGACTTTTGCCACGAATTTCGCGTTCTCCAAATCGCCTGAACTCTTGAATCATTGGAACCACACATTTCAAGACTGTCGTGGCTTAATCGATATTCGCGATAATCGTATATCTTCTTGTTGTAAACCAGCGAAAAATTTTTATCAACGCTGTATTGTTCACCGTACTTTACTTTGATCAAATCATCATTGCAGGACAATATGAGCTTTCTTGAACAAATTGCAAAATACCCCAAAATCACTCCGTAATTTTGCCTTGTAAAATTTTGATTGGTAGGTTTGAAGAAAATGGTAAAGTTTGTATCTAATGTGTAATTTTCGGAGTAAAAACCATCCACAGATACATTACAATGTTTGAAAGCTATCGTTATCTTTTCCGAAACAATGAAATTCCGCCATTTTTCTTTAATGAGACGGTCAGAAGAATTACAAACTTGTAGACCATCATCCGTTATTCTGTACTCATCATAAGAATACATTCGACCTTGGTACATCAATGAGAAGTTGTTCCATACTCTGTATTCATCTTCATACTTTATAGTAAAGGTAAAATTGGCGCATTCGGTCACACATGTTTCAAGTTTACCTTCATACACAACATAATCGTATTTTGTTATCAGCTGCTTTGTTGCAAAAATGCGAACTCTAAAATCCTTCAGCACAGTGTACTCCCATCGGTCGAACTCAATGTATATAATGGGTTTATTGCAACTTTTTTCATGCATTCTCGCCTTTACCCAGTAATTACGCAGTTTCCAAATATTCCTTACGTAGTTTCCAGTGGAGTTACAAATCTTTATGCTATCATTCACAACTCGATACTAAGTTGAAAAGTCAGTCCGAACTTTGTATTCTTCATCGTATTTTATACTGATGATTGAATCGTTGCACATTAATATATCTTCCTGGGTATACTCTGTTGACATGGTTCTCAACTTTTCATCGCATATATAAAGTTGAGCGTCTTCTACCCCATAGTCATTTCTTGTGAGATATTGACTCGTAGGTGCGAGATAGACAGTGAACTGCTTATTCACAGTGTAATACTCTTGGTAAGGCCAAAAGGTTCTAATGGGTTCATTGCAAGTTTTTAGATGTATTGTCTTCTTTACCCATTTATTGCGTACTTTCCAAATATTCCCTACGTAGTTATCAGTGGAGTTACAAATCCTTATGCTATCATTCAGAACTCGATACTCAGTATAGTTGTACACCTTGTTCTTATAGAGTATTGAAAAGTCGGTTCGAACTTTGTATTCATCATCGTATTTTATATTGATGATTGAATCGTTGCACATTAATAGATCTTCCTGGGTATACTCTGATGATATGGGTCTGTAGTTTTCTTTGCATATTGTAAGTCTGCCGTCTTCCACCCAATAGTCATTTCTTGTCAGATAACCACCATCACCTCCCGAATAGACAGTGAACTGCTTATTCACAGTGTAATACTTTCGGTACAACCAAGTGGTTCTGATGGGTTTATTGCAAGTTTTTTGATGCATTGTCTTCTTTACCCATTTATTGCGTACTTTCCAAATATTCCCTACGTAGTTATCAGTGGAGTTACAAATCCTTATGCTATCATTCAGAACTCGATACTCAGTATAGTTGTACACCTTGTTCTTATAGAGTATTGAAAAGTCGGTTCGAACTTTGTATTCATCATCGTATTTTATATTGATGATTGAATCGTTGCACATTAATAGATCTTCCTGGGTATACTCTGATGATATGGGTCTGTAGTTTTCTTTGCATATTGTAAGTCTGCCGTCTTCCACCCAATAGTCATTTCTTGTCAGATAACCACCATCACCTCCCGAATAGACAGTGAACTGCTTATTCACAGTGTAATACTTTCGGTACAACCAAGTGGTTCTGATGGGTTTATTGCAAGTTTTTTGATGCATTGTCTCCTTTACCCATTTATTGCGTACTTTCCAAATATTCCCTACGTAGTTATCAGTGGAGTTACAAATCTTTATGCTATCATTCAGAACTCGATACTCAGTATAGTTGTACACCTTGTTCTTATAGAGTATTGAGAAGTCAGTTCGAACTTTGTATTCTTCATCGTATTTTATATTGATGATTGAATCATTGCACATTAATAGATCTTCCTGGGTATACTCGGTTGATGCGGGTCTTAACTTTTCTTGGCATATATAAGGTTTACCGTCTTCCACCCCATAGCCATTTCTTGTGAAATATTGACTCGTAGCTACGAAATAGAGCGTGAACTGCTTATTTACAGTGTAATACTGTCGGGGCAACGAAAAGCTACGATTGGTTTTATTGCAACTTTTCAAATGCATTGTCGCCTTTACCCAGTCATTACGTAGTTCCCAAATATTCTGTACGTATTTATCAGTGGAGTTACAAATCTTTATGGCATCATTCAGAACTCGATACTCAGTATAATCGTGTACCTTGTTCTTATAGAGTATTGAAAAGTCATTTCGAACTTTGTATTCATCATCGTATTTTATATTGATGATTGAATCGTTGCACATTAATAGATCTTCCTGGGTATACTCGGTTGATACTGGTTTGAACTTCTCTTGGCATATATGAAGTTTACCGTCTTTCACCCCATAGCCATTTCTTGTGAAATATTGACTCATAGCTACGAAATAGAGCGTGAACTGCTTATTTACAGTGTAATACTCTCGGGGCAACGAAAAGCTACGATTGGGTTTATTGCAACTTTTCAAATGCATTGTCGCCTTTACCCAGTCATTACGTAGTTCCCAAATATTCCGTACGTAGTTATCAGTGGAGTTACAAATCTTTATGGCATCATTCAGAACTCGATACTCAGTATAATCATACACCTTGTTCTTATAGAGTATTGAAAAGTCAGTCCGAACTTTGTATTCATCATCGTATTTTATATTGATGATTGAATCGTTGCACATTAACAGATCTTCCTTGGTATACTCTGTTGATGTTGGTCTCAACTTTTCTTCGCATAAAGTAAGTCTTCCGTCTTGCAGCCCATAGTCATTTCTTGTGAAATATTGAGTGCTAGGTGCGAGATAAACAGTGAACTGCTTAGTCACACTGTAGTACCTTGCATATATTTTTTTAACAGATCCGTGGCATTTATACCGATTAATTTTTTCCCACGAATTTCGAGTTCTCCAAATGGTCCGAGTTCTTGAATCATTGGAATCACATATTTCAAGAGCTTCGCTTCCGAATTGATATTCGCGATAATCGTACGTATTGTTGTTATAAAACAGCGAAAAGTTTTGCAAAACGTTGTACTGATCGCCGTATTTCACTTTAACCAAATAATCATTGCAGGACAGACTTTGCCGAACAAATTGCAAAATATCCAAAAGTCACTCCGTAATCTTGCCTTGTGAAACTCTGTTGAGTAGGTTTGAAGAAAACTGTAAAATTTCTGTATAATGTGTAATTGGAGTAGTAAAACGCGTCCACGGATACATTACAATATTTGAAAGCCAACACTTCCTTTTCCCGAGCAATCAAATCCCGCCATCTTTGTTTAATAAGGGTGTCAGAAGAATTACAAACTTGTAGACCATCGTCCGTTACTCTGTACTCGTTATAACGGTACATTCTGCTTCGGTACATCATTGAAAAGTTATTCCATACTCTGTAATTATCTTCATACTTTATAGTAAAGGTAAAATTGGCGCATTCGGTCGGACTTTCCAAGATCGCATCAATTTCACGTCTATTCCGGAGATGTCGAGTTGTGTTTGAAGCGAACGTTTCTCTTTTGGCTGTTTCTCTGAAGTAATTCTGGTGAAATATTTGATTTTCCATTGAAGATATATTTTTGTTGCCATCTTTTTGCCATTCTGTCTTACTTGAGTGGGAGATGGTAGTCGATTCTTCGCGTGGAACGTTTACCTCAGACGGCGATGGAGTTGAAAAAGGCAGTACTGGGCTCTTTTGTATTCTTTTACTTTGGGGGGGGTTTTATCGCAGTTCCTAAAAGTAAATTAGGGTTAATAATTACTTCATAAGTGCTAACATTCTCACATTTTCAAATTTTACCTTTTCTAACCATCTTTGAAAGATCAGTTTTCTTCCGCGCCTTGCGGCCATCAATTTGTTTATCATTTTCTGCCAAGTTAGAGACGCGTTCGTCTTGTTCGAGAGAAACGTCAACATTGAAGGGTTTACCTTCGAATTCATCTTTTAATTTGTTTGGTTCTGTTTTATCATCTCGCATGTCATACTCTGAACCACCACCATGATAAAAACAGGCGAAAATCAGACAGAAGGAAAAGAAAACGACTCGATACAAGAGTCGAGAATTAAAGCCACGACCCATGTTGCAACTGGAAACGTCGTTAAGCAACTGAGTGCTGTTTCGGTAAAACACAAAGTTTAAAACGTTTATGATCAGACGATTTGTGATAATGTTACCAGCTGAATCCAGCTGTACTTCGTTGTCAGAGCAACGCCTTCCATCTCTGAAATCGTAGGTTCAATCCTCGAAACATTCATGTGAAAAGAATCAGTCAACGCTCTGCCGAATGTTGTTGGTTTTCCTCGAGTACTCCAGTTTCCTCCCGCGAGAAATGTTGAGAGTGGGTTACGACTAAGTACGTTCACGACTACGTGAGCGTTATCTATACAGCCAAAAAACATAACGGCTTTAAAAGTGCAACTATCTTAATAGTGAACTACACCTGAAACGCTCTTAAAGTAACTCGATGCAGATTTAAAAATATCAGGTCTTTGGAAATGTCAAATTATTTCTACACTTTGTACATCGAATGTTAGGTTGTTCGTGCATTTAAATCTATGGGTTGTACATATATTGAAAGTTTTTGTTTCAAATTTTCTTGATTTTTGTAACACCTTGTAAGTTTCCATGGCAATTAACGTGTAATATATTGACTATAGGTGCCACTGGGTCTATTTTTGGCGGATATAAAGTGGAAAATTTTTGCAACTTTTTCGATGCACTTGTGCCTTTACCCATTTATTGCGTACTTTCCAAATATTCCTGACGTAGTTATCAGTGCAGGAGTTACAAATCTTTATGCTATCATTCGGAACTCGATACTCTGTATAATCGTACACCATGTTCTTGTAGAGTATTAAAAAGTCAGTCCGAACTTTGTAATCATCATCGTATTTTCGGATGATTAAATCGTTGCACATTAATAGATCTTCCTGGGTATACTCAGATTTCGAATCAATTTCACGTCTGTTCCGGAGACGTTGAGTTGTGAGTGAAGCGAACGTTTTCCTTTTGGCTGTTTCCCTCAAGCCATTCTGGTGGAAAAATTGATTTTCCAATGAAGATATATTTTTACTGCCAATGTTTTGCCATTCTGTCTCACTTGAGTGGGAGATGGTTGTCGATTCTTTTCGTTTAACGTTTATCTCAGACGGCGATGAAGTTGAAAAAGGCAGTACTGGGCTCTTTTGTATTCTTTCGCTTTGGAGTGTTTTCATCGCAGTTCCTAAAAACGAAATTATGGTTAACAATTACTCTTTCTGAAGTGCTAACATTCTCACATTTTCAAAATTTGCCTTTTCTAACCATCTTTGAAAGATCAGTCTTCTTCCGCGCCTTGCGGCGATCAATTTGTCTCGCATTTTTTGTCAAGTTAGAGACGCGTTCGTCTTGTTCGAGAAAAACGTCAACATTCAAGGGTTTACCTTTGAATTCATTTTTTAATTTGTTCGGTTCTGTTTTATCTTCTCGCCTGTCATGCTCTGAACCACCGCCATGATAAAAACAGACGAAAATCAGACAGAAGGAAAATAAAACGACTCGATACAAGAGTCGAAAACTAAAGCCACGACCCATGTTGCAACTCCAAGCGTCGTTCAGCAACTGCATGCATGTGTATTATTTCGCACAACACAAAGTTTAAAAGCGTTTTCAAGTTTGCTTTTTAGTTTATTTTACCAGCTGTTCCACTAGTCATACACTTCGTATACTCATATAAGGCTAATAAAATGGCGGCACAAATTTATACTGTTTAAACTATACTGTTTTCGTGGCTTTGTGTTAAAATAAACAATGTAAAAGAGAAGAAAAATACAAATATTGTTGTATGAATGTTGTTCAATGTTGATATTTGTTTCGTCGCTATATAACAAAACACTTAACGTCTTTTCCCTCGGGAAATAGTTAGTTTTGTTTTCCCGAGAATCTCAATGAGATTCTCGGGAAAACAAAACTAACTATTTCCCTCGGGTGCAGACATTAAGTGTATATTATTCTTTTCCATGCAATGCATGCACATTTTTCGATATTTATGTGCAGAAGAAAAATATACTAAAGCCATTATCTTTAAAAAAAATTCGTTTTCCTCAAATTTTTTTTTTTGGCAAAACAGATTTTTATATTGGCATTCTACAATTTTTTTCTTCAAATTTAAAGTTTTGTGGCAAAGCAGAATTTTATATTGGTATTGTAGAATTTTCTGTTTTATTATACAATAGGGCCATTTATACGGGACAAAATAAGTCGCGTCTTACATAAGACGCGTCTTATCTAAGCTGAGTTATCGCATAAATGGTTCTCTACGGATTTATTCTTATTTACTTGCTATAGCTGTAATGTTGTGTCGGTTGTTTTTGTTCGAATATGAAGGCTAATAATTTTACGTTGTTTCAAGTTTCGGGCATGTGTAGTTAGAATTTTTGTCGAAAATTTCTTATTTAAGACGCGACTTAAATAAGAACAGCTAAAAGTCCTGTTCTTATGTAAGACGCGTCTTATCCAAGACGCGTCTTACATAAGAATTTTGTACCTTCTATACGACAAACTCGCGTCTTATTTAAGTCGCGTCTTATGTAAGTCGCGTCTTATTTTGTCCCGTATAAATGGCCCTAATGTGCAACATTTGAACATATAGCTTAATAGCTATATGCCACATGGCACTTATTTAACAATTATACCTGTGATTATACCATGAGCTCGAGTCGTATATGAGCTGATAGCCGACGAGGTGCGTAGCACCGAGTCTGCTATCAGCCATATACGACGAGAGCGAATGGTATAATTGTTTTATAATATAGTCTAATAGCCATTAACTGAAGCAATAATTAATATCCTCTGTTGCAATGTCTTGACAATTTATTCGGCAAAAAACCGCTTTGCCTTGAAAATTTGAAGTACTTTTGTTTTACAACTCGAAGACGAAGTGAAAGAAATGGTTTTAGAACCGGTATATCTCACAGAAAAGCTCAGATATATTATACAGATGTTTGGTAGTATAGTAAGTGCTTGTTGACTACAAATTCATTTGTCTTTCGCTGTTGTTTCGGTATTAATTCTTTAAAAAACTTGTATTTAAACTAATTTCTACGTAATAAATGTATTTTTCTAACCTGTCAAACTTTTTTGCGAGTTATTCCTTGTACTATTATCTTTCTCAAAGCGAATATTTTGCTTTTTTCTGCTTCGCAAACTCTGGTTATCGTTCCATGTTTCGCGCACCAATATATAGTAAACGTCATGTAATCTGTATTATAGTGTAACATATAGATAAATATACACTATTGTACATAGCTATACTACACTATACAAGACTATACAAGACTATACGACACTATACAGCGCTATACAAGACTATACGACAATATACAACACTATACGACACTATACGACACTATACAACACTATACAACACTATACAACACTATACGACTCTATACAAGACTATACGACACAATACAGCACTATACAATACTATACAGCACTACACAACACTGTACAACACTACACAACACTATACGACTCTATACAAGACTATACAGCACTATACAACACTATACAAGACTATACAAGACTATACGACACTATACAACACTATACGACACTATACAACACTATACAAGGCTATAGAGCACTATACAACACTATACAAGACTATACGACTCTATACAAGACTACACGACACTATACAGCACTATACAACATTATACAAGACTATACAAGACTATACGACACTATATACAAGACTATACAAGACTATACAGCACTATACAACACTATACAACACTATACAACACTATATGCGATACTGTCCTGGTCGTTGTGACGCATTTCCGATGCGAGATGAGTTGATATAGGTAATATGTATAGGTTATTTTGAGGCAACGAGGGGATATGTGATTTATTCACCGAGGCGCCCAGCCCCGAGGTGAATAAATCACATATCCCCGAGGTGCCTCAAAGTAACGTACTTATTTTTCACACTGCGAGGTCGCGTTAATGAGTCAGAAAAGAAATAATTCTCAATGCCATATCGCCTTCGCGATGTTGTTTTTTCTCATTTTTTGTGCTGCAAAGACATTGCAGGTGAATATTAGAGGGGATTATTAATTGCAGGTGAATATTAGAGGGGATTATTAAACAGAAATTGATTAGAGGGGAATATTGAATATATTCCCCGACAAGAACAAAGGAAACCGAGCAGGGTGAAAAATAATTAAAAATATTTCGGCTGTGGTGTGGGGAAAATAAGTTTAAACTGCCAAATCTACCAATTTTTTATGTGTGTGTTAAGATAGTGCAAGTGAGAGTATGCTATTTTACGCGCGTTAAAACACTGTTGGGCCACTATTCTTGGGCCACTATTCTTTGGCCACTATTCTTATAAAACTCCTTGGGCCACTATTCTTTCTAATATATATTAATGATTTGCCTCAATGTCTAAATAATACAAAACCTCGGTTGTTTGCTGATGACACAAATCTAACCGCTACTGGAGATTCTATACCTCACCTTGAGACTGCAGTGAACTCTGATTTGGAAAACCTTAGAAAATGGTTAATTGCCAATAAACTTAGCCTAAATGTAGCTAAGACCGAATTTATGTTAATTGGTTCGAAGCCAATGATCAAAAGTGTTTCAAATTCACAACCTAATATTGAAATTGAAAACAAACCAATTAAACAAGTTTACGAATGTAAAACTCTTGGAGTGACAGTTGACCAGCATTTGTCTTGGAAAAGTAATACTGACAATATTTGTAAGAAAATAACAGCAGGAATATCGGCTCTTCGGCGTTTAAAAGAGTTTACTGATAGACAAACTCTTATTTCTGTATATAATGCAATTGTTCGACCATACTTCGATTATTGTTGTGAAGTATGGGATGTGTTTGGGGAAACACAATCAAAGGGACTCCAAAAACTCCAAAATAGAGCTGCTCGAATTATCATGAATATGAGCAATGACACAGAACATTCTGTTGCTTTACAAGCATTGTCATTGAGCTGGGTGCCACTCAAAACGGAAAGACAAAAAGCTAAAGCAAAATTAATGTACAAAATATTAAATAAAATGGGTCCGGAGTCACTCACTAATCTTTTCACATATAAAGGTGAGATGACAAACTACAATCTTTGGGATATTTCGAGTAGTCTTTGCTTACCTAAACCGCGTACAAATAGCATGAAAAAGAGTTTCATGTATGACGGAGCCTACCTTTGGAATTCTATTCCGAAGGAAATTAGAGAAAGCAAATCCTTTGCCTCTTTTAGGAATAAAATCGCTACTCACATTAATAGTAATTGTAAATAGATGTTCCCGCAGACTAACTTACTAAGTACCGGTACTATACTTTACCTATTTAATACTATTTCTAATATTTTGTAAATAATTATTCTAAATTTTATACTTCTGTAATTTCTTCTATACACGCCCCCTGTGGAAATCAGCTTCGGTTGACGGGGTTAGCGTGGTTAAATAAAGTTTTCTATCTATCTATCTATCTACTGTTATTCAAACATAAATATTTCGCGTTCTAGATCGAATTTTAAAAATCCCCCCCGAGGAAATTAAAGAAGAAAGCATGCTTTATCAGAATTTCTCAGTTTTGGAGTAAAAAGTTTAATATCGAATGTCACGAGGGGCGTAGAACAAGGTGTTATTTTCTCACTCCTTTTGTTTATATGTTTATATGTTTCGAATTTCAAGCATTCTGATTGGTCAAGGACGCAAAATGTAAACGGACGCGCTGATTGGCTAACATTATTTGCCCTTGTTGTCACTGGCATGATACTCACTCTTCAAATAAAACTTGTGTGAGCAGATTTAAGTTAAGGCACGTTTTATCAACCTCCTGTTTTGCGGAAATTTGCTGAGATTTTCGGCTGGGTGGAGACTGACGGGGCCGGCTCTCCTCCTAGGAAACAAAATGAGAAAGATAGAAATTTCGCATTTTTTTATTTACTTTACTACAAACATCTAAAGTACAATGTATACATTATAACGTACTTTTTAAGTTAATAGCATTATATATTTTAAGCGTTTTCACTTTGGGTAGAATATACGTTGCATTTTTTACAAGTGGACATGTTTATACATACTAGAGTTCAAATTAATCACTGTTGATTGATTACTGTTTAATTACTCTATATACACACATATTTTCTTTATATATTTTAATACGTGCTTGCTTGCTTGCTTGCTTGCTTGCTTGATTGCTTAACTTGCTTGTTTCCTTAACTTGCTTGCTTGTTTAATTACTTATTTATTTATGTTTAATTGATTACTCTATGTACATACATATTTTCTTTATCTATTAATACTTGCTTGCTTGTTTGCTTAACTTGCTTGCCTGCTTAATTTGCTTGCTTGTTTTATTGTTTAATTACTTATTTACTTATACAGCCGACTTAATAATAATACGTACTTACACTATAGTCTATTCAGCGAAATTTCGGTAACTGGCGGGTTATTGTTTGCTGGGAAATATTTTTTCTTGAGCAACTCATAATTTCTTCGTGTGAAGGCAAACGCAATACCAATGTAGGCACCAGTAAGCAATGTTACAGTATACAACGCTATCTTTATTTCGAAATCAAAATCCACGATTCTAGATATGAAGAGAGGAAACCAATAACTTAAGGCTGTAGTGGTTGACAGCTTGAGCAACATGACAAACTTGCGACGCTTAACAATATTCGATTTCTGTGCAATGTTCCTGCTTGCCTTGAGTTTTTGGCGAATTCGATAAGCAGTGAGGACGAACATTCCAATGATGTACAACAAAAGACAACCTTGAACGCCATATACATCAACAGCAGCTGACCAATGGGGAGTAATTCGACCATTGATACAATCTCCAGAGATCTGTTTATAAATCCTTGCATCATCTTCCTTCCTATCTCCATTCTCAAATACAATGCGTTCATAAAAGTTTAAGCTTGACTGAACATCTTTCTTCAAAGATACAATAGGTTGATAAATCCTTGCATCATCTTTCGTCGCATCTCCCTTCCCAAGTACAGTGCTTTGATTTAACATTGCCTGGGCATCTTCAGGTACAGTGTCAGTGCTTTGATTAAACTTCGACTTTGACTCCGAGACATCTCCCTTCAAGGATGCAATACGGTGATAAATCTCTATGTTGTTTGCCGTCGCATTTCCATTTGCAATGCGTCGATAAAATCTTAAGCTCGATTGAACGTCGTTCTTCACAGACGCTATAGGTTGATCAAACCTTAGAACATCTTTCTTTACTAGTACAATGTAAACAATTGTTATAATCACGGGAAATCCCCAGCTAAAGAAACC